AAGGCAGAATTAGACTTTTTTTTGCCATGAGTACGGGCAGGCAATGGTTCTTTACGGATTTTAGGACGTTGAGAGGGAATATCTTAGTTTTTGATCCTATGTTACGGTATTGGACGCTACCGTAGCGATAGACAAAAGCAGGGAAAACGAGGGCAAGCCAGCAGAGTTCCTTTACGGAATTTAAAGAGGAGGAAGCTAGATTATTATGGTGTTTTTTGTCCGTCAATTTTGGATACCAAATACATGCTTCAGCTACCGTAACCATCTATCTAAATCTGGGGAAGCCATAGCAAGCCAGCAGAGATCCTTTGCGGACTTCAGCACCTGAGAGAGAAAATCACACTTTTTTCGCCTATCTAGCGGTTTTGGACTTCTAAAGGGTGCTACTTTTATCGTAACCGGCTGGTCGATGTGATCGAAAGAGTGCTGTAGCTACCGTAATTACTATTAACCTAGCCAAGTTAGGCAAGCTAGCAGAGGTCCTTTGCTGAATTAAGCGACCTTAGAACTGCGAGTTGCTATTTTGGGATCTTGCCAAAGACATGGGCATCCCAAAATGTGCGTTAACTACCGTAATCACGGCGATGAACCTTGACAAGGGCAGGCAAGCTAGCAGAGATTATTTGGGGAATTCGGGGAACTCAAGCCGGCGGCCGACCTAGGCGTCCTCGGGTTTGCTCCAACTACCATAACCACCACTATAAAACTGGGAAGCGGGGGCAAGCTAGCACTGATTCTTTGCGGAATTTTCACCAAACATCAAGGCACCCTAAAATGCTGCTCCTACCACCATAACCGCCTATATAACCCTGAGAAAGTGATGGTACTTGAGCCTGGGAAAACCACTAGAAAACATGCCGCAAAACCGGTTTATCGCTCAGCGTATCGCCGAAAGAATTGGGAAAAGCTTTCGAAACCCAAATTCGATGGTTGCAAATTGGTTGGCCATCTGGTGTGGGTGTGCGGATGTTTGGGTGTGTGAGAATTTCTTTGCATACCCAAAAAGGAAGGGGTCGCATCGGGGAGACATGTGGAATATTTTAACGATTCAAAGGAGTAGCGAGTTTCTTGGACTCCAGAATACGTTAAAAAAAGCAAATTTAGCGGTTGTTGCGGGTTATCGTAACGGAACGGTTTTTGTTTTTAATAAAAAGCCCAGAGAAAATAGCTGTGTTAAGTGCATTATAATTACCTGAATTTTGCGTAATTCGTATGTTTATTCTATTCAAAACGTGAAGATTTAGGATCTGGAACTTATGACAAATGAACTTATATGGACATGATTAAGAAAGATATAGCATTAATTAAAAATTCAAATCATGTTTGCACGATTCAAAGCCGGCAAATAGAGCCAAATTAGCGTTTCAAATTTATTTGAACTACTTAAGCCCATGGCAATTTTCTGGAACTGGTAATGTAGTGTTGAATTTCTTAATGGGAAATTTCATTATATCCGAAAACTTTTTGCTTAAAATTTGGTGGTTTTCCGAGCAATTTTTTTTTATAAATCTTGACACTCTCAATTTTTGACTTCATGAAGTTTTGGTTATAGCAAATTTCGACATTCCAACCTGAAGTTTTTGAAACATTTTGATTAGATTTTCAGCAATCTTTAACTAAAAGCATAATTTTGAGAAAAAAGCCGAAATAAGCGGAATACATAGCCGCAAAAAATACTTAATTTAAAGCTTCAAGAATTTGTTTTGAATCTTATTTCCACGATCGAAAATCGGGAGAAAAACTAAAAAAACACTATGAAGGTATCCATTTAGAGACTATTATTAAAGCTGATTTCGAGCTTCTAACTTTATGAAGCTAATAGTGGCGTAATCGTACTCGATACGCCGGCTAGACGGGCGGCGTAGAACGTTCTAGAAGGAGAAAATGAGAGGGGGGCATGGGTGAGGACGGGAGACTGAGACTGACGGAGGGATTGAAGGACTGCCCATTCAATGGCACACTCAATGGGCAAAATAGGGGGAGGATGAGCGCGAGCTGGACGGAAAAAGGGAAGAGCCCGAGCTTCCGGTTACTGTAAACAACTCGGCAAACAGCTTCTATGGTAACAAAAGACCTTTCAAGGTACCGTAAAGTCGGTTTCACCTAGAAAGCGCACCCAAAAAACTGGCACGAAGCCTGTATTTCCTGGGAACTAGACTTAAAACCAGAAAGCTAAAAATCAATGATTTCCCTGATAAATAAACATTATTTTTTGTTCAGATTTTGTAAGAAGTCCATGCTAACGTTAAGCGGAAGTAAGGCCAGGCAAAACTTAAAAATCAAAGTAATTTTAGAAACAGGTGCAAATCACAAAAAATCAAAGAATGCCTAAAATGGTAAAATCAAAGAATGGTAAAATACCTTCAAAGAACTTAGGTAAGTGCTGTAAAAAAGGAAAAGCCGAGAAAAACCCCGAGAAGAGCGGCAGAATCTCATTAAGCGGGGCCGTTTGAAGCCTGGAAGAGGCTTCTGGAACGTTCAATTTTGTAGGGTTGCGCCTTTGAAGCTCACTAACTCTCTCTCTCGCACTCGCTCGCGCGCTCTCTTTGATTTACAGACGCAGCTCCAGGAAGAAAACTCTTTGATTTGCTTTACAACTTTTTATTATGCCTCATGTTCCTATCCCTATAAGCATGCCTAAAAAAGTGAGATTCAGCAAGGATAAGTATCCCTTTTTCCGATTCTATCCCGATCTCTATAGCTCTCCATAGTTAGGCATCGCCGTGCCGATCGGCGGCTCTCACATATAAACAGTGGCCGTTTCTCTCTTGACTCTCTCTCTCTCTCTCTCTCCCTCGTTCTCGCTTGGCTACTTCTTTCTTCCCGTCACAAGCCATAACGTGAATCGATCCGATCGCAAGGTTACCTCCATTCAACGCGTGTAAATGACGGGGAATGAGGAAGGGAATGCCACTGGTTGTTGGCTTTTAAAGAGACAAGGAAGTAAAGATAAGCTATATAAAAAGGATATAACGAGAGAGAAAAAGAGAGAGAGAGAGAGAGAGAGAGAGAGTGAGAGAGATAAGAGGAGAGAGCAAAGAGAGAACGCAGCTATTTTCCAAAAGATCAATGAAAAATATTTATTCACATTCACATTCAATAGCTTAGAGGCGGTAATTTTTGGAACGTCATCGCATCGGAATCAAGCGGAAATACTACGGTCACATGTTGATAGGGTCTTCGTGCCTAAAGTTTGGAGCTCATGTTTTTCGAATTGTTGTGACCTCAAAGAACTTCGAATCATAAAAAGCGCTTTATCCACCGTACCATGGTGTGGCCATTCCTCGTCAGAAGCCCTCTCGGTGCCCGGTGATCCCATACCATCACTGCCGGCGGATAGACAGCCGGAGGAATCGGTGGAGTTGGAAGGGCGCACCTGAAAAAGGAAATGTAAATTCAGATCCTTCTAAAATTTTCATTTACAATTATTATTTTTGAGAGCTTTTTAAAAAGACCGGAAAAAGAAACAATCTGTTCCGCGACGCGACAGCTACGCGACGCACCAAATTTAGCATGAAATTTTTTTATGCGGCTAGGATTTTTATGTGAGGGCAGAGAATGCGCAGAGACTGCGCATACACCGTCCTTTGACGTGTCGCGTAGCTGTAGAGATCTAGTGAATGGCAGGGGTCGATTTTCGCCTCCCAGTCCATTTAGTTGGACTCAGACGAATACTCTTGAATCACAATTGCCTTAAAGGGACGAGCAAGGCACCGCTATGGATTTTGCTGACCATGTGTTTGCCCTTTTTTGATGCACAATGGACCATCTTAGATGCATCAAAGCTGGCGGCGTTCGCTGCGTGTCAACGACACGACAAAGCTATTCAAAAAACATAGCAAAACATCATATTGATATCGTGTCCAGCTCGTTAGCAAAGTCATGACGTCATCAATAGAGTTCCAGAAGGTTTAAACTTTCACCTAGACCCTATTATGCGTAATATCCCTTTATACTCCACTGACACTGCTCCATTTACGGACCGATTTTTATATGTTTTTCAATGCTTATAATGAGCTTGGCGTTAAGTATAAATTATAATTCCCGTGAGAGTCAGCCGACGCTTGCCTCAATTGCTCTGTCTATTTTTATATTTTTCAGTTCTTTTCTATGCCCTCATTCCCCGTTCCAATCATCGAATCCGCCACGCGGAGCGGAACGGAATGAATGGCCGCATTTTTCGGGCTTGTGTATTTTTCTGCTGCGTGGTTCCAGAGCTTTTCCTCGGGACCACCCAGGCAGTGTGCTCGGGCCCATTTCCTCTCCCCTCCTGCCAATGGCCCGTCCATTTATATTCACCCCGTAAAAGACCCACACAAAATGACCCCCAGCCTCCTGGAATCTATGGATTTTCGCTGTCTTTTCTGGCCGGTCCGTTGGGCTCCAAAACACACCACCAGATTCCGACTGACTGACTGATCCTAATACGATTTTCCCTCGTTTTTTAGGCCGATGAATTACCATCTTTCCCTGGCCATTCTGGCCTAGACCAACCGGCGAGAATCCAGTCTATTTTGACGTCTGATGAATGGGTTTTTTACGGGGGTTTGGGGCGTATCCGTGGAAAATGAGAGGGGGTGATTTTTGAGGTGCATTTTGGGTTAGATAATCCTGGGGCTAAGATTTTTGGAGATTGTAGTGCATAATTTGGATTCAGTTTGGACAACTACGCGACGTGCCAACTGATCCGTTGTAGTTGTAAACAGTTTTATTTAACATGTACGGACGCGAAAATTCAACGACGTGGAATCGATTCTTGCGAGTTGGAGCCCCCTCAATGTTGCCTCATTAAAGGGAGCGGGAAGCTCCAGAACCTACCTCTCTTAGGTTAGGTCTGAACAGCTACGTAATCTTCCGATTTACGCGCGAACAAGCTGTTCCAAGTCTTTCTTAACAAACGGACGATGTTATCTTTCATAAACCGAGATCATTTGGCGTCTCGCGTAGTTGTCGTGATCTAGTAGGGGATAGGGGTTGATTCCCGCGCCGCCTAGTCATTTCCGTGTTTTTGATTCATCATTTCAAGCGCTATAAAATTGACGCAAACCCCGATAGAAGGGAGATCATATCTACCGCACTAAAACCCGGCCATTTTTTTCTGCTTCTTTTTTTGATGAATGGGGTAAAAATTTGGAAGACAAATTCTGCCTGCGTATCCCTGGGCATTGCCGGGCCCTCCATTTCTCCCCACAGGAGGGGAAATAAAACAGGATTTACGGGCTCTTTTTTGAGGGTCCGATGGCCCAGGGGATGCTTGTGGGAAATTTGCACTGGGGTTCTTTGTTCCCATAATTTTTGAGGCCACTGTTTTTATGATAATTTACATGCTAAGATTCCGGCTTATCGAAGCGTCGCAGATTGATAAAAATTCCTTTGATGTGATGCTAGAGAATTCAGGATCTACTCACCTTGGAATGGGTGGCGATTTGCAGCGGTGAATTTCCTTGGGCGTACGGGGTTTTCTGAAAAAAATCCTATCTTTGGTCGCTCCATCTTGTTCCCTTTTTCCCAAGGTTACTCTGCTAGCTTGCCCAATCAAAAATTGACTGAATAATCCTATTTTCGTTGTATTTTCTACCGCTGAGCTCTAACTTTAGATTCTCGAAGCAGCTATTTTAAAATCTTAAGTTCGGAATTAAAGTGGAATTCCTCAAAAAATCTATGCTGGAACCCGGAACCTATGTTTAAATCGATTTAAATGAAAGACATACCTTTAAAACCCTGCGCAACGCCTGACACCCCTTGATAAGATCTCGATCTTCCGGGTGATCGGCCTCCAGGCGGAAGATTTCCCTCTCACATTCGCCAAGGCTCAGCTTCTCGCATTTTGCGACCAGTGCTCCGAATAGTCGGTTCTGAAAATTAACTATTTTTATCACAATACCAAAATATCTCAGAGAAAATTTCGGTTTGGAATTTCGTAGAATTTTCATCTTTTCAATTGTTTTTAAAAAATCAGTGATTTTCTATTTTTTTAAGCATTTAGATTTTTAGCAAAGGGTTTTCACGGTGCCAGTTTTATTTAGAATTTCCAATGTTAATTTTCACGGGAGAAAGTTAGCTATTTTGCCGATTTTTTAACATTTAAAATTGTCGCGAAGGGCCTGGTATGACATTTAGACATTTCAAATTCCAGTGAAGGATTTGGCACGATTTCAATTCACTTCCAGTTTTTGTGGCATGAAACTATTTCTTCAAAAATCTATGAAATATTCAAGCCTCATTTTCTAAAAGGTCACATTGGCTGGATACCAGCTCATTGTCGATTTTATTTCACTGGATTCCATTACGTTCAGTCTTTAAATTTCTGAACTGGTCTAGACAATTTCGAAAACAGCCTCTCAATTCCAGAATCGGACTCCCGGAATCGTCTCCGGCCGTTTGTGAGAGATATTGGGGGTGTGGTGGAGGAAGTGGCCGAGGGGTGTAGCCCCGGGCCACAATTTCGACACGACGCGAATGTACTGCTGGGGAAGGGCGATGGAGACCGACAAAACGAAGAGGAGAAGCCGATCGTCGCCTACGAGCACGTACACCATCATCAAAACAGGGCTAGCAGCACCGATCACAGTAGAAACAACTCGTTTCGAAGGCGAATTAGGGTGAGTTTTTTCGTTGATTCCAAAAGATTGTCCTGTTTCCCTAAAGAATCTCTGCTAGCTTGCCAGGCAGAAAAATTACGGATTTTGGCGGTTTGCTTTATCAAAAAAGATCATTAATTTCCCCAGGAATCGTTGCTAGCTTGCCCGAAAAATGGCTTTCGGAGTATGTTTCGGCCATCCCAGAACGGAAAATGAGCTTCTCCAAAAATCTCTGCTAGTCGCCACGGGTTTGTATGCGGAAACCACCCGCAAATTGTCCTATCTTGGGCTTCGAGTTCCCAAAGAATCTTTGCTAGATTGCCCTGGCACTTTCTAGGGCGGTTCGTTCAATTCCCAAAGAATCTCTGCTAGCCTGCCACGTGGCTTCGAATTTTTCGGAATCGTGATTGGAAGATCGGGGTTTGAAAAAATGATATATCCTCAATGATCACTGCTAGATTGCCTGGCAACAAAAATATTTCCATTACCGTAACCTAGCATTTTTGAAACAGCCAGTCATGGTCAGAAAAACAAAGATTTTTGCATAATTATTTTTCGTGAAAATTCGGGTGGTTGTGAATTAAATGTTATTGCGGATCGAATAGGCCATAAAACCGAGATCAAAGGACGACCAGCTAAAATCAATAAAAATGCAAATCTAATTGCTAAAAGCCAATATTTAAGCGCAAATTGCAGCATCTCTCCAGCCACGAGACAGGCAGTATTGCCCTCAACCTAATGCTCTTCATCCCCATGCTCGCCTTGTAAGTTTTTTTTTTTAAATTAAATTTACGTCTATGAACTAAAATTTAAAATTTAACAATGTCATTGAATTTTGAATATAAAAATAAGGTAATTGTTGAATAATAAAGCGCCTTTAAAACGCCGAAACCTGCGAATTTAGGTTTTTTTTAGTAACGGCGTCATCATATTCCTGTGCTATCGCTTTCTCCCGACTGATGAACTTTGCCATGACGTAAGTTTTCAAGGGGCTCGTAGGTCGAGAATCGACCTTTTGCTTTTACTAGGTCTAGACAGCTACGCGACACTCTAACTGACGCAGGAATCGGATTCGGATTTCGCGAATTCTACCTCTTTAGTGGCCACGAAAGTGGCTTACAGCGTGTAGTTTCACGTACGTCGGAGCTGTCTAGACCTAGTTTCGTGTATTGGTCGATTTGCGCGCTTTCTATCCCCCTTTAAACATACCCATTTTCCGGTTTTTAGGATTTTCACGAAAAAGAAGCGTCCGAGTTGGCTTGTATGGGGAATACTGTACAGGTATGGTGATTTATTCATGTTTTTACTTATTCCGACGGTGGTATTTTTTTCTATCTTATTGTACTTGATTTTTTTTAGATGTGGCTCTACGTAGCGCTAGCGATGCTGGTGCTGAATTCTGGCTATCTGTTCCTGTCCGCGGCTTGCGGGGCCTCGTTTTTTGTCTCAGAAGGCCCAAGTCAATACGGTGGAGATACGGACAATACGGAATCCCCGCAAATTATCCTCACCCATTGTGCACCTCCGAATAGGAAAGTTGGCTTTATTGTTTAGAAGTGACCAGAAGCACCTATTCATTCCGTTTTAATCGTAGACGAGTAATTGCGCTATGAAAATCTGCGACATCTCCTCAAGACGACTAAGGATTTTTTATAGATTTCACTGCGCATGTGGCACGCAACGCACGCTGCCCAACCAGCTAAATGCGTCTAAATTCGTTAAGCAAGTTACGCGTTTCGCTACGCGTTGCGTGTCGCGTGAGCGGAAAAATCCATAACTACTTCCGAGGACGATCGAATTCGAGCCTTTAATCGATGCAAAATGGAAACTTTCGAATTTCCAAAGTACAAACATCTAATATTACAGCTATCCTTTCTTTTCATTTCCTTTCAAAGCAAATTTTCAGACTTTCTAATGTACATAAGCTTAGTTACTGTTTCCGTTAGCTAAATTTTTATCAAGTATCGATCCAGTCTAGACTTAATGATTGATGCCCTCGATTTTTTTGTCAATATCTATTCTGTTTTTCATGTTTTATGCATCTGTTTTTCTGCTCCCTCAAACCCCGATTTTGGCCGATTGCCAAGGGAATGAAATTCAAGTAAGAATTCGCCCTGTTGTTTCCTAGTTACGCTTCGAATTTCTCCTTTTTATGAGGTCCTCAACCTGCTTTTTTTTTTGCTGTATTTTGCTTATTAAGTATAATCTTATTTCTTATTTGAATAATAAACTCTCCGCCCACCTGGATAATCTTGTGCTTCAGCGCGTCAATGATCTCGGTCTGGGCCTGGAATTGGCGCTCCAGATGCTCGTTGTACGTCTTGATCTCGATGATCTCCTCCTGGAGCGCCGAGGCGAACTCTTTGTTCTCGCGTTTTTTTGGCGGCTTCGACAAAGATCTAAATTTTTGGCGTCTTTGGTACGATTTTTGTGTGCAATTTAGCATTTTTTTAAAGCAAATTCGTAGAAACCTAGCCTCACCTCAAACTGGCTGCACTTCTCCAGGGCGGCGTGCAGCCGGTATTTCGTCTCCTCATATCGCCGCTCCAGATCCGTCCTGATGGCCGGTCTCTGCTCGTTCCGGAGCTTTTCGACTTCAATTTCAAGCCGGCGAACTTCTTCTCGAAGCTGAACTTGGAAATAGGCTTATTTCATCCATTTTTCATTAAGCTTTCTTTCATTTTTTTTTTGCATTTTCATAATTTTTCGACTCCAAACTACAAACCTTCTGCGCCTCTGCCCCATCAGCATCGGGAAGGCTCTTCTTCGCAAGTTGCTCCTCTTTTTGTTGGAGCACGAAACGAAGCTTGTCCATTTCTTTGATTTGCTAGAGGTCAGGTCGTTAATGCCATTTAAAGATATCCGTTACCGTCTGCTTGGCCCGCTCCAGCTCTAGCGTCGTTTGTTTCATCTCGGACAGCTGGATCTCCATGCTTATCGCTTGTTTCTTCTTTTGCTGAACTGAGTCGACTTCTTCCTAGAAAAAAACACATTTAAAAAGAGTTTAATCGAAATTACACTATTTTAAAGTGTTTTTAAAACCATCAGAATTACCTGCAACTTTTCGATACGATCAATATATTGCTCCTCACGATCGGCCCAATCTTTTGTTTGAGACACGTTGCTTTGCTGGGACTAGAAAAAGATAGACATTTAATGAAATTTATTTTTTATATGTTTGAATTATAACAATTGATCTAAAAGCCCCACGTTTTCCAACGATTCCAAATACGCCAGCGCATTTGCCATGGCTTTTCGCTGCTCGATGGGAAGATTTTTGCTGTTGCGCATCTCGGAAAGCCGTGTTTTCAGCTCCGATTTGTCGAGGGTGCTCTGGAATTAGTTAAATGATTTAAATAGCTTTAAAACAATTAAAATTGGTATTTTAATACAGAAAATTTCTGAAAATTTAAACCAAACGGGCAAAAAATGGGTTTTTGGATTTTTTTAGTTATCTACTATAATAATTTTCTTGAGGTGTCTGTCTGTCTGTCCGTCATGTCCCGAATTCAACTCCAAGGGGAAAGGAGCTAAAGCTTAGCTCTCTTCGGATTCGGATAGAGCATGGTCAGAAACCCCGAAAATGATAAAAAAATACGCAAAAGTTTTTGTTTAAATTATTAAAATTAACTTTGAAAGTTTTCTCCTTAGTAAAAGGCGTGGGGGACGGAGGTTGGGGTGATTTTGGACATAGTGAGCCAGGTGGCGCGCGTTTCGGCGAGGGGGAGGGAGGCAGGGAGTAGCCCGAAGTCCAGCCGCTTGCAGCGGCGAAGCCGCTGGAAGCGGCTGGTTTTTTGAATTTTTCGCCGTCCTGGCATCAATTACTGATTTGATTTCATTTTAAGATGAAATCAGGGTTGTAAAAAATCCAGTAAAGGAAGCCCTGTTAAAAAAAATACAAAAATGTGAAATTACTGACCATTTGGCTAACCGTCGGCTGCTCCAAATCTTCAAATGGCTCTTCGGACAGGCTGGCATTATGCAGTGATTCCTGAAAATCATGCATTAATGGCTAGTTTTTCAATCCAGGATTTTAACCTGAGTTTAACATAAAAGGTATCGAATGAAAAATATCAGGTCAATAAAAAGCACCGCACATTAATGGTCTCGATCTCGATCTCCTTCTCGATGCGCTGAAACTCGAGAAGCTCGTTCTCTTCTTGGGTGTCGGCCAACTAAAAACGGCATGCTTACTTAATGAGTTATTGAAAAATTAAAAATTACAGAAACTAAAGTTTCAGGGAAAATGCTCTTTTGATGAGTTATTGTAAAATTATGATCATAATTAAAGATTTTTAGCGGAATTTCAATGTTACTGTAAAATAATGCTTTAATTAAAGTTTCATTACAATACCTGGTTCCTTAATCTGTCGACCGTCTCCTCGAGCTCGAAGATTTTGTTCTGTTGCTGTGTGAGGCGCTCCTGTAGATCCTCCAGCATTTCGATCTGCAAAAAAACCTTTTAGTCTTGGCCTATCAAATGCAAAACCATGGATTTTAAAATTTTTGTTTTTAGATTCCAATTCTGTGTTCTTAAGGACCTCATAACAGTTTAATCCTAAAAATATCGTTAAAAATAAAATTATAGATTAGTGACAAATCAGAAAAATTAAATAAGAAAACCAGATGTTAACGCAAAAATTCACGTTGTGGAACTGTTGGTTGTACTGGATCTGCTGCTGGGCGATCGTCGTGTGGGCAAGGTTTAGTTGATCACTAAAAACAGGGCAAAAATTAGCATGCGTAGGATTGTTATCAGTTGTAATCGGACGACACTTTTGAGTCAAAAGTTTTGACCGCGGCGAGAAGAAAAAATAGAACGTGATAGAAAGAAATTTTTGGAAAAACCTGCTGAGGAGAGGTGAAAAAGCTTTTAAAAGAGCTCAGAAAACCGCGAATCGACGCTTCAATTTACTAGGTATAGACACTACTAGACACACCAAATGACGTATTAGATACCATTTCAATGCCTTAAAATAGCAGCGTTGAAGCAAAAATCGAAAAAGATAGAGTCTATTGGCGGAAAGTCTAGTTGTCTAGACCTAGTCGAACTAACGGATCGTTTTTGGGACTTTCGCGGTCCTTGAACGTTAGGTCAATTTTTCAAAAATGCTTATTTCAGAAAGGACAAAAGCCCGGGAATCGACGCCTTCCATAGCCTAGGTGTCCACACCCACGCGACGCGCCAAATAGCGTATCAAATTTTATATTTTTAACAGTAGAAAGGGGCCGTGGATTTGAGAATTCAAGTGCGTCTGCGCGCGTAATTTAGTGTAATGCGTAACTGTCAGTACCTAGCGAAGTGAGAGGGTCGATTTTCCTGCTTGTTAATGAAGCTTTGAAACGTAGAAAAATTACCTGAGACAGTAAGGCAAATGAATAAATTGTTAAGCAAAATCAATGGCCCAACTTTTGGGCTGACCCGAGGGCACAGGTGTGCGCGACAAAACGGTTGACCACCAAGGCTAGAGGGGCGAGGGTCAAATCTTTCCGGGGATCTTTTGCAACCATTTCAGAAAAAGAGGATGCGTGAGGTTAGGGGGGATGGAAAAGACAAAGAAGAAAAGGGACACATTCCCTTTAGCCCTAGCCGGCTTGTCAAGGACGTTTTCGCACCGTTTTCAGGTCCTAAATGGGGATGGTCAGCTGTTAAAGAGGCCAGGAAGTAGAAAGAATCGGGAAAACAGCGGTGGTAGCTTTTAAAAAATCCTCGTTACTTGGCTTTAATTTTTATGGATTTTAATAGCATCTGCTAAGACAAAAATTTCCCAATTTCTAAAGCGTAGAGTCTATAAAAAAGTCATATATAATGAAGTTCCTTTGCAATAATTACTATGACGAACATAACTGATAAATTCGAAGCCTAGACTTCAAAAAGTATAACCAATTCGATCCCCCCCCCCCTCAATAACCTTGCCGATGAGTCACTTTTTGATAAGACCACATGGGATTAGTCAGATAGGCATAGGGCGTGAAGGGCTTTTTTAAGCTGTTTTTTCAAACCAATTACTAGCTATACTAGATATAAGTATCGGACTGAAGTTAAAGGAACTCGGAACTCAGTTAACCAACCCCTGATTCAACTCGGTCTCGAAAACTTCGCACCCTCTAATAAAGGAAGAAAAAGTTTTATGATGACTTGTTAAAAAAGAGGCTTCAAGAAACTTGAAAAGCAAAGAAAGGACAGATTTTGTTAAAAAGTTAAAGCATACCGCAGATGCAAAAGGTCGTCCTCCGTTGGCCTCTCCTCCCGGATCCTCTCCAACGCTTTGTGGAGTTCGTCGTTTTCTCGAGCCAACGCCCCGAGACAGGCTTCAATATCCTCACGCAGACACTGCAATACCAAACAAAATATAAATAAAACAGAAATATAGTTGTTAATGCATTAAAAATTTATAAAATAGCATGTTAAAGGGCGTTTCAAAAGTCTGGAAAATCGAAGACAGCCATTCCTCATGCATTCCGGAGTCAAAACAAACGGCGCGTGAGGCATGAGAACGCTTTTTTAGATTTTTGGCACGCTTCCAGGAAGTTCCCACGCTATACTAACGTTTTAAAACTAGCTTTTTAAATTTTAAAAAGTTCTTAAACTGGGGGAGCTACCAAAAATACGGAATTATTGTATCTCATATTTTGTCATTTTAGCCTGTCAACCCTATTTTGTAGCGTTCGGAACCTAGAAAATTAGCTAAACGCCGAAAAAAGCCGCGGAAAAAGCCAGAAATATGAAAACTCTTAACGACACGTAAAAGTGGGTTAAATAATGAATAAAATACTAAAGATTAACGGTAATTTTTGGGCATTTTATTATCAATTTTAGCAATTTTTCATATTTGTTGTTACTTGCTTTGCGAAAATTTGGATTTGCGGCATTTTTTTTGCCTTTCCAGCGCCTTTAATTCACTTAATTGGAAAATCAATGAATTCAAAGGCTGTCAATTAGTATTGACTACATCGCGCCACCAAGATAAAAGAAAGATGGGCAAAACCGTTCGCCCCCAGCGACAGCTCCCCCCAATCGAATCCAATTAGCATGCGGATGGATGGACAGCAATAAGAATCCGCCCATCCATCAAATTATCGCCCCCGACGACTGGATGCTTATTGCTACTCGAACGCGGGGACTAATTGGGAGGAAATTTGGCGGGCTTACAAACGCATATTGCTGGAACCTTTACTAACTAAAAAAATTAAAGCCCTTAATTGGAACAATTTTCTTGAAATCTCACGATTAAACCTTTTGTGAATTAAATAAAATAAGAATTTAATTTAATTCATTTTACGCATTAATTTTTCATAAATTAGAAATGGCTAGAAATGTTATAGCCTAAATCTGATTTTTTGGATTTTTCCTAGTAGTTTTCGTTAGTGCGGATTTTTCAATTACAAGCAAATAATATTAAATTTAGCGGTATTTCAGAATGCCATTTTGCGATCCGAATCTCCGACAAACTACAAAAGCCCTGGAATTTGAGCCGCCTGGTGAATAGCGGCCGACAACAATAATAATGATAAAGACGGACTATTCAAACGCATAGGTTGGCGCAGAAAAATACGGCTAAATTGCGATGCCGAAAGGAAATCAAAAATCGAGGCTGGCAATGTGGCGGTATACGCGATTTCGAAAAATTCGCCTTGAGTTTCAAAGTTAAGTTTCTTGAATTTGGTACATTTGGGGTAGATAAAAACCTATTTTTTTGAAATCGCCAAAGGAATATAAAATGGGCACAGCTTTGGTTAAAATTTGAATTTTTTAAATTAATTTTCATAGCAATAAGCTAACAAGACTGCATGAAAGTTAGTGAAAGTGGTTCTAATTGTTCAAAAACAGCATTCAAAATGCTATGCAAAAAATCGATAAAAAGTGAAGCTATCATATGCTCTGATATGAGTTAAATCTACAAAAGTTTACTTGGTTTTTAAAAATCATAAGTATAGCGGTAAACCACTTTTACTAGCTTATTTATAGACAAGTATCGGCAATAACCTAACTGGCTAATTTATTTAAATTCATAAAGATAAATGATGTAAAGGGATAGCCCAAAAAGCAAGAAACGACGCCCAACAATTCCTATGAAAAAAATCCAGAACTGGCGATGTGTGGGGATAAGCCTCCCGCTTCCCACAGCGCAGCCAGGGGGCGGCTAGGGAGAGGCGTCAAGAGGATCAATGCGTATACTATAGACTTTTTCACGCGCCGAAGTTTTATGGGGGAAACGAGTTTGGGCTAAACCCGCATTCAGGGGAGAAGGCTACGTGCCAATATTCATGCTGTCAGCTGGAGCCGGGCGGAAAAGTTAATAAAATTGCGATCGGGGTAGCGTTATTAAAACCGGGGGTTTCACACATAAATAAATGAAAGGTATGTTAAAAATTAGCCAAATAAACTAAATTTAAAAAGTATGAAAATCAAAAATCTTTTATCTTCGCCTAGAAAAATTTACATAGTAAATAATCTATTTGAAATTTATAATAGTAATGTATATTATTATGGAATCAAAAACCAAAATTGAATGAAAATCGAGGTTCATGAATTTCCAATTAAAAATGGTTGCTTTTCATGAATTTACAGATTTGCCAAAAATTCCCATTTTGAAAATTTGATCCATAACTAATTTTTTAATCGATTTTTTAGCTTTTTAATATCCAACCTCCTCAAAATCCTCCAAAATAGGATCCAGCGAATTGGCACTCTCCTCGGAGCACGTCGATTCCACCGTGCTCTTGCTGTCATCCATCGGTTCTTCAGAAGTCTTCCTGATGCATCGCTTCAGTTTTTTGAATTTCTGCACGAGGACATCATAGCGTTTGTCTTTTTCCTAAACAAAAAGATGTATACAGTGTGTGTCAAAACGATAGAGCCACCTCTTTGAACGCTATTATCTCGGCCCACGTCGGGTTTGACGCCAAGCCAGCTAGCAGGTCTTGTAGCGCTCGAAGAGGCGAATTTTTCCATATTCTTGAAGTTTTTCAAAAATAAAGCAGGCGATTTTTATAAGGAAAAGAACAAATAGAGCCAAAAAACCGAAGTGTCAAAACGATAGAGCCACACTTTACATATCATTAGCATCAGCTTTGAGCTTGCAAACTACATGCTAATTGCTAATACGAAGTTCAAATCTATGCAGATTGGCATCACCCTGGAAAATCCGGAGGTCAGAAATGGAAAGTCACTTTGAATGTTCATTAGCATGTAGTTTGCAAGCTCAAAGCTGATGCTAATGATATGTAAAGTGTGGCTCTATCGTTTTGACACTTCGGTTTTTTGGCTCTATTTGTTCTTTTCCTTATAAAAATCGCCTGCTTTATTTTTGAAAAACTTCAAGAATATGGAAAAATTCGCCTCTTCGAGCGCTACAAGACCTGCTAGCTGGCTTGGCGTCAAACCCGACGTGGGCCGAGATAATAGCGTTCAAAGAGGTGGCTCTATCGTTTTGACACACACTGTATATTGGAGCTTAAGAATATAAGGATTTTTTGACTTCAACCTTCCTTTAAAGGGATGCCGACGGCATAGCGAATCGGTTACGCGCGGAAAATAAAATGTCTCTGCGCCTCTCCCCTATGCGCGCTCTCTCCCCTGTTGGCTACTTGCCAATTTGTTGATGAGCGGGGATCGACACATGCCGTCGACAGCCCTTTAAAAGGTCTAAAACTCGTTGGGATCGACCCCTATCCTTAACTAGGTATCGACAGTTACGCAGCAAGCCAAATTACGCACCCAACGTCGTTGTCGTTCCGTAAAAATTGGTCTAACCGGATGGAGGGAAACGACGGATTTTTTGCTTCAACGGTCCTTTAAAAAAGTTTAGAAATCCCGAGAATCGACCAGACCATTCAACCGGACCTAGACAATTACGCAGTGCGCCAAATGACGCTTAGAACTACTTCATCTTCACTATAGGCTTTCGCTTCAATAGCCCTTAAAGACGTCGGGAATGGCCAAGATCGATCCCTAAGCTCGGCTAGATGTCGACAGCTACGCTCCACTACAAATGGCGCTTATATGACGCCGGATTTTTGCTTTAGCGTCACTTCCCAAACGACTTGCATTCGTAATTTGGAAGGTCACGTAACTGTCGAGACCTAGTGGAAGCAAGGGTAGGTTTTTGCCGTTCCCAGCCTTTTAAAGACCCGCAAAAACACTTACAATAGCACTCTGCCTCAACGCAGTGATACACTTCGAATGTTCGAGCAGTTGCACCCTCAGCCTCTCCAGCTCGTCCATCTTTTCTTGCGGAAATACGCGTTTTTCATGTAGTTGTCGATTTTCTTTGACAACGCGCTCGTGCTGGTCTTTCTAAAAAAATTAATTTTTTTCAGGCACCAAAATAACTTGAAGATTTTTGAAAATATCTTTGTTACTTACCAGCGTCAACAGCTCATCCCGGACTTCAGACATTTCCTTCTCAAACTTTTTGATGTCCGTTTGTAGGGCTTTATTTCTTTCACAAAGTTTCCTGTTCTGATCACTCAACGGCCGTGTGCTCTTCTCCATCTCGACAATCTTTTTGTTCTGAAAAATTGGATTTAGCAAAGCGATTAAGGGGACCAGGAAGAGCATAAAATCGACCCTTTCACGTAGACCTGGGTCTCGACAGCTACGCGACGCGCCAAATGACACTTTTCATGTCCTTTTGCCTCTAGGGCCATAAAATAGTTTGGAAAAAAGTTTTAAAGTTTATAAACTTTGGGCGGCGTAGCGAGTGCTGTCTATGCCTAGTTGCTGCAAAAGGGTCGATTGTGGGCGTTTCCCAATCCCTTTAAAACGAGTTTTGGTGTTTTTCCGATTTTGAATTTTTTTAATACGGTATAATTGCTATTTAAGGAATATATTAGACTATAAAAATACGGTAATTTTCGTCCTATTCCTAGACCCACCAGCTCGGCTTTGATGGCGTTCATATCCGAATTGAGCGTCTCACTGTCCACCAGCCGCTGCTCGATCTCGTCGATTTTCGTCTGCCATCTGTTTCTCTCGCGCTCGTGCTCCTCCTTCATCATCTAAAACCGAAAAATTAATAGATTAATTTTAGCAAACTTTCAATTACTATGATTTTTTATTTTGTATCTAATAATTTCATGCGTTTTTAACCATTTCTTTGATTTTCAGGCACATATCTGCAAAGGATTTCCGGTGCATCGTTGGCTGGTGGTACGGCGGAGAAGTTTTTCGGGTCGTGCCGTCATTTTGCGGGGCCCTAAGTACGTAGAAATGAGTAAGTTAGAGAGGGTGTGGAGGTATATAGGGCACGAAATAGCGGTTGAAAGGCGAAATTAAAGGCGAGTCAGGCAGGTGAGTCCGATGGGTCAAAGGAAAGCCCCGAGTGGCGCAAGATATCTTGGTTCATCCATGAGATGCCATCCAGCCCATAGCCCCAATTTTGATAATTAAAAAGCCTGGAATGGCCAAAACTTCGTGAGGATTCCAGAAATTACGTCAGAATTTTGAAATTCAGGCGTTTTCTCGTCCAAATCGGGGTAAAGGATCATGCGGCGCGGTCGTGTTACGGTAGGATCTGGCTAATCGGTGACGCGAGGGAAAGAAAATCTTTCTGCCGCCTCCGGGAGCGCTCTCTGCCCCGTTGGCACGTGCCAAAAAGTCGATCAGGGGTGATCAGCCGATGCCGTCGGTATCCCTTAAACAAGCTATTCCACATCCAACTACCGTATTTTTTCAACAAAACCCCTCCTCCCACAGGGAAATGCGCGGCTGCAGTTCGATATACGTATGAGTTCTTAGCCTTTGTTCTGGCATTCTTTGGATTTTAATTCACTCAAAATTGCCTTGTGGTCCTAGGTCCAGAAACTTTTGAAGGTCAACGCGTGGAAAATTCCGGCTAATGTAAGCATGCGGGAGGCCAGGCAGATGCCGTCCGTCCGCTGGCAGCCCTGACGCAGATGCAATTCAGCAGATGCCTACTACGGACTACAAGATACGCATTCGGATTCATCTGAGCAGACGCTTCTTAGTTTCGGTTCCATATATATTTCCTAATTTTCATTAAGGACCCCTTCCTTGAGTTCCACTTTTGACTTTAGCTGCGCTTTTCATTGCCACCCGATATCTCTCTCACATTTTATCTCTCTGTCTATTCTCTCTCCCGCTCTCTCTCTCGATCTTTAACGCCCTAACTCATTCTCTACCGCTGTCACTGACATATTCGGGACCTCCATTTCTGTTTTATTTACGCCAAAAACCATTTTCCCCATTTTCAGATGTCATTCGACTTCGGCGCGCTCCCACTCGAAACTCAATTCGAAATCCTGCGCTGCATGGATTTGCAGAGCTTCTTCAAAACGGCTATTTCAAGCAAATCGATGCTTCAGCTGGCCAAGAGATGCCCCAACAAACGGTGGGAATGCGATATTATGCATCGCGCGAAAAAAGGAGACTTCGAGCTTCGGCGATTCCCTGGTGCTCGACTCCTGACCATAAACTACAAAGCCATGCAGTTGCTTTTCCATAATTCAACTGTTGACGCGTTCAACCCCGACATCCTCCCTCATCAAGAAATCAATATTCGTTCCCGAACGCTGTATCTGGATCTGAACAGATCCGAATCTTACGATCTATTACCGTATCTCAAACGTCATAAGCCGTTGTCGCGGAAATATAAATTTATCTATGCGCCTCGACAATTTCATCCATGCAGAGAAATGCTGGATTTTCTGAATGCATCGACGGATTCTGTATCGGTCACACTCTGCGCCCCCCTATCGGCATATATCCATCTGAAGGTGCCAGAGATGACCATTGAAGCGCCCTTGGACTCCGGCGAATCCTTAGCCGCAAATGCTGAAGTGCTAATCCGGGAATGGCACGGTGGCGAACGGCAGATTAGCCCTTTTATAGAGCTTAAAAATTTCCAAACGGTATTGAACCCCATGCACACGGTCTTCTGTACGCGACACCCGAATCTCTATGTGGCGAATGGGGACAACACTTTTTATCGCGTCCGCCGAAACGATGGCGAGGTGATGATTGTCAGATTTTCTCCGCGCTGCCGGTCCATCATTATTGCGCCGCCCGACTACGCTATGTACTGGGAATTTCTAGCTCGTGCCGAGCTTAAGAAATTTGTATTCGGTGCCGAATAAATATTGCCTCAACAGGAATTCAGCAAAAGAATTGATTTTCTTAAACTGGATAAGCAATAAAGACGGAAGTTTTGGTCCAAATTTGGCGGCCGTGTGCTCTCACTCTGATAAAAGATTGCGCTGTATGTAGATAAATCCTTAGTAGAACAAATTTTCGACAACAATCTTTCGAGTAAACTGTCATTTTGCAAAAACCGATTCCAAATAAAATTCGCCGAATGAAGAACTGTGTAGATTCTCGGACAGGGGAATATGATGTTGGGTTCTAAACGCGACTTTCAATGAAACCCTCTAATTTTCGCTAGGAGGCAACATTCTAAAGGTGTCACTCACAAGGGACAAGTTTCGTCGATTTTTTCGATTTCAACAATTTTGAGTTAAATAGCTCATTCGACAGAGAAATTTTTTTGAATACAATGGCGATTGTCGTTTTTAAGAAACCAGCCGGGAAAAGCAAGATAAATGGCTTTGAAGTTCGAAAATTTGGGCAAAAATGGAACTTTGAAACGCTATAATTTTGTAAATTCGACTATTTAGCAAAAATTAAAGCGGATTCGCTATCAGCAAGAAATTCTGCACAAAGTAGGCCGGTCCAAGTGCATCTTGTCCAGAATTTTTGTTGATTCCGACCCCGCTTGCCAAATTTGCTGCGGACTTTTATTTTGAAAGTTATACAGCAATTATGGTAGTGTTTTTCGCCAAAATCAAGGAATCGTTCTCGTTTTCGATTTTCTTGATCAACTTCGACGCCAAAATTGGCTAGAAATTGGCTAGACCAGCATCCTACCGCCAAGACAAGTTTTTTCGATAAAAAAATTAGATTTGTCATGCAAAAAGCAAAAGGAGTGATGCAGGCCGGAGTGTCGAACCGCCGCCCTGCGCTTGGCAAGCCAGCACTTTGGGAATCCACCATGGTGCCAACTTGCAAGAGGGCTGTGAGTGCGTGCTTGAGGGCACCAGGGCCACATTGAACCGAAGAGGGAATGGTGGGCCAGAATCCGAATTTTTTACTTTTTTTACGCTAAATTTGCAGCAAAAATGCCTCTTTAAATAAAAGTCCGCAGCAAATTTCGAAAACGGGTTCGGAATCAGCGAAAAATTCTGCCCAAGATGCACGTGGTCCCGAATCGAATCTCCAACTTGAGTAAAAACACTTTACAGTAAGGTGGTTCCCTTGTCAGTTATTGTCAAAAATTGGTTTGCGCAGATGTGCAGATGTCAAGGGAAGACATACAGACGCCTGATAAGAAATTCTGGCCATAGCGTCCATTGATGTCACCCTGACGCAGATGCAATTTCAGCAGATGCCTCCTACGGACTACAAGGTACAGATTCGGATTCATCTGGTCAGACAATTCTTAGTTTCGGTTCTTTATTCATTTCCTAGTTTTATTAACGCCCCCCCGCTCCTTGAGTTCCACTTTTGACGTTAGCTGCGCTTTTCATTGTTGTCATTGCATATCATTTTCATTTCTCGCGCTCTCTCTCTCGATCTCTAACGCCCTAACGAATTCTACACCGCTACCACTGAACTGTTCCAGATCTCCGTTTTTGTTCTACGTACGTCAAAAACCATACGGGGTGTCTCAAAAAAGCACCCCTCCCGCATTTGGCCGTATTACATCCGATCGGTCGCAAAATTGGACCACAGGTGTATCAGACCCTAGATCCTAAATAGCCACAATCCTGAGTTATAGTCAATCCTATGCTAGTTCTCTGGTTATAGCCGAAATCCTGTTTTTTATGAAATTTTTTATAGTTTTTTTTGGCTAGCTTTTTGGACTTTGCGTCGATTCGCGTCGACTTCCGGTTCCGGATCTCTGATTTAGCTTAGGATTCGAATTGATTTTCGCTTCTAAAAAACGATTAAATGAGCGTTTATTTAGTTAAAGTTTGGTTAGGAAAAAAATTTCTAGGGTTGGATAAGCCTTCCTGCATCATTGTCACTTAATATTCTAGGGGTCGATACCGACGAAACTCTACGAAAAACGTACTATATAGTTTAGTTATGTATTATCTCGAAAATTACTGTAGCTGGCGGGCTATAACTCAGGCTTGTGGTTGTTTAGAGTCTAATACACCTTTGAGTCAATTATGGGACGGATCGAATGTAATACGACGAAATGCCTGAAGGGAGCTTTTTTGGGGCACCCTG